GTGTGACGTCGGCGCCGATAATCATTACCCGCCAATTGGGTTTGCGTAGGACTTCCGGTTTGTCGGGTCGTTGGTCTAGAATGCGGTTAATTCCTCCCAATTTTGTGTTGATTTTCAATAATAAGTTCGACTGAACGCCTCCTGTGAGTAGAAATGGAGTCAAAAACATTCATTAATTAGCAGTAATTCTCATAATTCGATACATGGATTAGAGGGGAAAGGGATAGTGAGAGAGCGAGTGAGAGAGACTACAAGAGCCACCTAAAAGGGGACATACCTTTCGGCGGACGGGCGACGTTCTTGGACTTCACGCACTGCGTGACTATACCCTCATTACAGTCGCCCACGTGTTTAATAGCGTTATATATGACACTATCGTCGGGTATGACAAACAGTATCATCTGAAGGGCGCCTCCCTTTCGGCGGCACTCAGTCCTCGCGCCCACAAAGATATTAGCGATATCTCGAGGGCCGGTGCGGTCGTACCGGAACACCTTCGTCGGCTGCTCGACGGTCATGCCCACGGCCCGGGCCGCCTGTCCGCACAGTCCGCTCACGAACCCCGCGACGGACCTGTCGTCCACGAACCGCTCGCACAGATTCACTAACACCCAGTGTCTCAGCGCCATCGCCCGGTGCATAGCCAGCCCCTGGCGACGGTCCAGGCCCTTCGTGGCCGGCGGGTTCAGTACGCGGCCCGGTATCTGCACGGGATGGGTGTCGATGTCCAGGTTGAACTCCATTAGATACCGTTCCGACGCCGCCTTGATTGTGGTCACGGCGTCCATAATGGCGTCAAAGCGTTCAGCGGGAGATTTGGTGCCTACAATATGGGAGGGGAACGGGATGTGTGAGTGTGTGTGAGTAATGGGACGGTTAGCTCGGATTGCGATTGTAATTTAATTAATCACTCAATTAAAGTGCTATTATAAGTGCAAAATAGTACCTAGTTGATATTAAAATTGCAGTCAAAAATAAACATACGGTTAAAAAAAACTTGCAAAACAAATATCGATAATAAATGCAAAATTCAATTTAAATCTCGCTATAAAATATCGATTACTTATAAAACTCATTAATAATGAGTACAACTCTGTATACGACACTGAAAACTGATCGTAAATTATTCACAAGTGTTTAATAATTTACAACAAAATACATGTTAACTAAACAAAAACTACTGAACCAATAGGCCATACATACCGCACTCGCGCACCATTTTGGACGTGTTATACGCGTCCAGTTTGCCTCTGGACACGGGCTGATCCGGGAAAAGGTAGCAGGCGTCCATCGGCAGGTATATAGTCTTATTGGCCTGCGGTATGAGACACGGGAACTCCCTATCGTTTACGGCCACATTGGGGTACGCCTTCTGGAAGTACTCTTTCACTGTAGTCTTCACTTTGCGTCCGCCATCGTCGTCGTACTCGAAGGTCTGCTTATGGGGCGGCAGTACTGACAGCCCTTTTATGGTGTAACACCTCTTGTAGCCCAAGTGATTGGTGTACACCCGTAGGCCTGTGTGTGTTGGGGGACACCAATGGATAGTTAGTAATTGGCAGTCAATAGACGTGTGTATCAGTAGTATTGTGCGGTTAAGGGGTTTAAGTGTTTATAGTTAACGCTAGGGGCGGGGGGTTTAAAGGGTTAGCACGTGGTTATGGATTAGGGTACAGACAATGAGTGGGTGTGTGTGTGTGCCTTAAGGGTTGTATAGAAAGGGATGGCATGTAATGTCAGTCATTCCGCGCAAACCTTTAGCGTCTCTGAGCAGCGAGTCGTTGACCGCTCTGTCGTCTTGGCGTCGGTGGACAGGTATCCTGTCCTTCAGGCGCCGCATAAAGTCGAGTAGAGTTCCGCCGGCAAAGAAGGCGGTGGCCGACCGGTCGACCAGTATTGTGGGACCCATTTTGGTGAGTCGGGTGCTCTGGTAGTGGCCGAACACCACCTGTTTGTTGCCGGCGTCGTCGATGTCCACGCGGCTGTTGTCCCTACCATTCCATGTCTCCCACTTGGGGTACAGGGAGTTGCCGATAGGTATTCGGTCGGTGGTGGGCCCGTACCTAATGGACAGTCGGTTTATTGGTAATTAAAAAAAGTTATAATAAAACTATAAATCAAAAAAAAATTAGCATTAATTGCATTATCAGAGTATAGAAGCTATGGTTAAAACAAAGGGAACGGTAACCAAACACCCTCTGCGTACCTCAGTATGATATCCAGCGCCTGCATGGCCTCCCGGGGCACGTTATCCGACTGGCCGTCGTAGTAGAGGTTAATAGCACTCAAATCGATAGACTGCGTGTACTTAATGGTCACTTTCACGTGCTGTGGTTTGCCATCCATTTCCACGGATATACTACACGAGTACTCGCCATCGGTGGCCAGTCCGCTGAGCAGGCGTTTCGTATAGACATTGGAGTTGCCGTCGAACACCGGCTTCTGGAGCTTTTGCACTCCTGCCTCCTGATAGCCAAACAGGTCGGGCTTATTGTCCATAAACGCCGCGAACACCAATCGGTTCTCCTTTTGCCGCAACTTCCGGGTCTTGGCCTTCGACTCCCGTTCCCCATCACCGCCACCGGCGGCACCGGGAGCCGAGGCGACCGCCTGTCCCAGCGGGCGGTTACTGCACTCGAACTCCACGTGATAGTGGTATACGACGATGTCTTTGATCACCAGCCGGAAGTGGTTGACGATGAGGTCGATGAGAGTGCCGGCGCCTCCCGTGTCGGGCCTCTTCACGAACTGCGCCGGCGCTCTGCACACCATCTCTGAGGGCTGGTATGGCTTATCTGTAGCGCAACGTATAGAAAGGGAGGGGAACAGGAGGTTAGACGCAAACATATACAGCACATAGAGTGTGGAGACGAAAACTGATTAGCACCGGTATCTCATGCCTGAGTTATTTGGTCTTTTAGGTGGCGGTGACCGACCGCCGCCCGAGTAGTCAGCTCTATATCTACCTGTACTGCCAGAGGCTCCCGGTGCTCGACCGCCGTAACCGCCACCACCACCACTACCGTATCCCCGGCCTCCCTGTCCGCCGCCCCTACGATCGGCTCCACCACTACTACCGCCGCGAGCTTGGGGACAGTTATCCCGCGTGTGACCCGACTGTCCGCACCCATAGCACACACCCCGTTGTTGGCCGCCACCGCTGGACCGCCTGTCCGGTTGGGGGCACTCGCGAGACATGTGGCCATAGCCTCCGCAGTTGAAGCACTTGTTGTCACCTCCCTGTCCACCACCACCTCCTCGTGATTGCGGGCACTCGCGAGACATGTGACCAGATTTGCCGCATTTGAAGCACTTGTTATCACCGCCACCTCCGCCACGACCTCCACGACCGCCCCTTACGGTCCTCCACTCGTCTGTTATGGGGGTATAAAGCGGTGGTTAGCGTCTTAAGTGAGGATCAATTGGTGGCAAATGAATGGTAACCTCTTTGCGATGACATGTCTAGCGATTTGTTGTCGATATCATGGGATATCGTATGGGAATGGCGTTCGCATATACCGTGACATAATATAGTGGGCGGGGAGTAAAGGGGAGTTATATAGTTTAGGGGGGGTTTCAGTGATTATAAATTATTATTGTCTATGTTTTCTAGAGAAATATGTTTGTTTATTAGCTTGATGATTTTAATTCTGAGCATTTATGTTTTAATATATTATGCATGGCCATGTAGGACGACCCAGTAGAGTTATTTGAGTTTTATTTAATGACTTCAAGGGGCATAAAGTAAAAAGTTTGTTATTTCGCGTAACGATATCTATTAACGAGTTCGTGCCATAGAAACAGATGTTTTTGCGATTATTAATGATCGCATAAATAACGGTAAACTTAAAACATGTCATAAAAGTTTTTATCAATGATTTTTTTTATTAGATTTTATAATTAATTTTTATAATTTTTATAGTTATTTTTAGCACATTTTAAATTAAATATAGAGTGATAAAATTTATAAATTTATAAAATATATAGTGAATAGCGTATGCCATATAAGCCCGCTTATAGTCAACACAAAACTATACTAAATAACAAACATAAAAATCATAAATAGTTTGCATAATAATTCAGAGATTAACTAATAGCTTGGTTATATAATACTGTATGAGATTACATATATTGATTAAACAATTATTGCATTGATTCGTAACACAGATCAACAGTACATAAAGGAAACATACACTACAAGTGTGTTCACTATAAGCGGGTTCATGTGATATATAGTTAACATATTTGGTAATAAAAATAAGTTTGTTTTTCACACTAAATACTCATTTAAAACTAATTAATACCTGCAAAAAGTTGTCAATTAATATATAAACCGAGTATTTAGTGTAAAAAACTTCAATGACTTTCGGCTCGTAATACCGATAAACATAATATTAAATGATTAGAATAATTGTCAAAAAAACTCATATAAAGTTATATTGAATATAAAATAAAGCCAGTGATGGCCAGAGGGGGACAGGTATTGTGCAAACAAGGGGGGCTATAGTTGAACCCCCTATAATAAAGTTATGATTAATAGTGATAATAATAATATTGATAGATATTAATAATCAGGGTAATACCGCGAAAAAACCTATATATTGGGGGCAAAAAAACACAATATTACAACAAAACAAAATTAAAAGCTACAGTTCCTTAACCGCCTGTCCCCACACATCAACAAATTCTGGCCATCACTGAAAACCATAACACAGTTCTATAACACAGTTTTGTTATGAGAGGAAAAAAGCACAAAAAGTTTCGCAAACACTGTATCACTGACTCCACTCCACCCTCACATCCAGTTCCCCTCTCTTTAACAGTAATACATGTTGTTTTTGATCGACTCGTCCACTTTGATCACGCGATTCAACTCCCGGGCCAGTGCTCTCTCGCGAGCCACGCGCTGCTCATCGGTCTCGTCGCGAGGGGAACGGTAGCCGCGATCGCCACCACCACCACCGCCACCGACAGCACCGCTTTGGATGTTAGCCACGATGTGGTTACGGGCCCGGTATGCGGCCAAGTGTGCGTACTGGACGGGCGCCGGTATGCTAATGGGCGTATCGCACCGGGCGTACACGTAGCACAGGTAGTACGAGAGCTTTTGGAGGTCATCCGCTGTGAATTTGTAGTCGTCGTGGAGTACGTAGTAATGGGTGGGACGGGACGTACCCTATAGTGTCATAGGAAAGGGGGAACAGTAGTTAAATATAGGGGTATAATCACTAAACAATACACCAACGCCTACCTGAATGCCCACATGAGAGCACAGGTAGAAGTCAAAGTCCGTGGGGTGCACGACATGGCTGTCCACTGTAGTGCCGGGCGGTATGTTTCTCTTAGCGCCCAAACCGTCGGCCTCTCTCTCGGGACGGAAGCGCGTGTGGTGTCGCTTCTGGACCGTAATGAACGTCACTTTTGGCTGTTTAATGCCTTTCGCGAGGCAGGCCTCCAGAAGCTTCCGGTGCTCGTAGTCCAACACCTGCTGGAACTGGGACTCCGACACCCCATCCCTGTGTTGGCCGTAAAAATGGCGTCAATTTAGCGGTAATTAAATGAGTGACAGATTCACAGCGAATGACAAAACCAATGCAAACCTATAATAGATGATATGGTTGGGCAGACCTCCCAGCGCTTTGCGGTACTCATCCAGCAGTTCCTTAATCATGACGTCAAACTCTTTGATCATCTCCACGGCCTGCGCTCTGGTAGACCTCTCCTGAGCCCTAATAGACGCCGAGTACTTGCAGTGGTCGGCGTCTATGGAGCCGATACAGGCGGCCACCGATGACTCCAACTTGTCGGCGGGCGCCGGGTGTGTGACGTCGGCGCCGATAATCATTACCCGCCAATTGGGTTTGCGTAGGACTTCCGGTTTGTCCGGCAGTGCCTCTAAGATGCGGTTCACTCCTCCCAACTTTGTGTTGATTTTCAGCAATAGGTTTGACTGAACGCCTCCTGTGAGTGGAAATGGAGTCAAAATCAGTCATTAATTACCAGTAATTCTCATAATTAGATACCAGGGTTAGAGGGAAAGGGATAGTGAGTGAGTGAGAGTGAGAGAGGAGGGGAGAGATAGAGAGCTATGAACTATTGGTATCAACGATCGCATACCTCGACGGTCAGGCCCTCTAAACGGCGGAACGGCATTCTTAGCCTTCACGCACTGTGTGACCACACCTTCATTACAGTCGCCCACGTGTTTGATCACATTATAGACATTATCGTCGGGTATGACAAACAGTATCATCTGAAGGGCGCCTCCCTTTCTGCGACACTCGGCCTTCGCCTCGCGAAACGCCGCCTCAATATCTTGAGGACCTGTTCCCCCGGGCGTCCGGATCGGTGTGGGCTTGTGGACAGTCATACCGACACTGGCCGCCTGTTCGCACAGCCCGTCCCCAAACTCTTTGGCCGCCTGAGCGTCCACTTTAGGCCACCCGTTCTCGCACAGGTTGGCCACTGCCCAGTGTCTCAGGTCGACCGGTCGGTGCATTTTCTTACGCTCTTTACGGTCCAGGCCTTTGATGGCCGGTTTGGCCAACACTCGGCCCGGTATTTTCGAGGCCCGGGAGTCAATGTTCAACTGGAACTCCGTTAGGTAGGGCTGTGAGGCCGTCTTGATGGCCGCCACGGCGTTTGTAATCTCCGCAAACCGATCGACTGGTCCCTGAGTGCCTGTGCGATAGGGGGAACGGTAGGTATTTGGTTAGTAATACTGTACTTCAATACTTCACACAATTCAATCAATACTTCGGGTAATTAAGCAAAAAGTTTACTATAAATACGTTGAAACAAACGTATACATACCGCACTCGCGCACCATTTTAGCCGTATTATCACCGGTGAGTTTGTTTCGGGACACGGGCTGATCGGGGTATAGGTAGCAGACATCCATCGGCAGGTATATAGTCTTACTGGCCTGCGGTATGAGACACGGGAACTCCGTGTCGCTTATGTTAACGTTCGGGTAATTCTGTCGGAAGTAGTCCTTTACAGTAGTCCTCACTTTGCGTCCGCTCTCGTCGTCGTACTCGAAGGTCTGGGCGTTGGATGGCTTCGCGGACAACCCTTTTATGGTATACCGTCTCTTGTAGCCCAGGTGCTCGGTGTACACCCGTAGGCCTGTGTGTGTGTTTGTGGACACCAATGGATGGTTAGTAATTGGCAGTCAATAGACGTGTGTATCAGTAGTAGTGTGTGGTTAAGGGGTTTAAGTGCTTATAGTTTATTGTTAGTGTTATGAGTGGGAGGGGGTTAAGGGCTCATATAGGGGTGTGAATTGGTTAGAGAGAGGGGTATAGGTTACTGCAATTGAGTGTGTGTAAGGTTTGGAATAGAAGGGGGTGGGGGTGTGTGGAGTGCCTATCATTGTAAGCAAAAGTTTGTCAATCAATGCATACCTTTCGCGTTATCCAACAGATAGTCATTCATTGGTTTGCGATAATTGCGAGGAATTCCTCCCTTCAGGCGCCGCATAAACTCCAATAGAGGGCCGGCAGTAAAGAAAGCGGTGGCCGACCGGTCGACCAGAATTGTGGGACCCATTTTGGTGAGTCGGGTGCTCTGGTAGTGGCCGAACACTACCTGTTTGTTGCCGACGTCGTCGATGTCCATACGCCCGTCCCTACCCTTCGTTACCTCCCATTTGGGGTACAGGGAGTTGCCTATAGGCACGCGGGTTGATGTGGGGCCGTACCTAATGGACAGTTAGGTTAACCGGTAATTAAAACATTATACAAAAAGTTATAATAAATTCATATAAAACAGTATAAACTTCATATCAATTGCATTATCAGAGTATAGACTATAGTTACACACAGGAAATGGTAGCTAAACGTCAGTCTCATACCTCAATATGATATCCAGCGCCTGCATGGCCTCCCGGGGCACCGAATCGGACTGTCCGTCGTAGTAGAGGTTAATGGCGCTCAAATCGATCGCCTGAGCGAACTGTATGTTAACCCTCAGTTGAGTGGCCTTACCATCCAATGTCACCTCAATATTACCGGTGAACTGGTCCTGAGCTAACTGTCCCCTCGTGTAGACAATGGAGTTGCCGTCAAACACCGGCCTAAGCTGTACTCCCTGTGCGGTGCGGAACAACTCCCGCTTGATATCCATAAACTTATTAAACGCCAATCGGTTCTCCATTTGCCTCAACTTCCGCACCTTATTCCTGGACTCCCGGTCCCCACCACCGGCACCACCACCAACGGCACCGCTCGCCGCCTGACCCATGGGACGGGTATTGCACTCGAACTGTATGTCGTAGTGATAGACAGTTATGTCTTTGATGAGTAGCCGGAAGTGGTTGGCGATCAGCGCGATAGCCCTCCCGTTACGGCCCACTCCCGGACGGCCTACGAATTGGGGTTTCATTTTACAGTTCCCTTTGGGCTGTAGTTCCGTCGGTTCGTACGTCGCCACAGCTGTCACTGTATAGGAGTGTAGGGGGAACGGGAGGGAAAGGGATGTATAAGAGTGTTAACAGTAACAGTAATATCACATAATTATAGTGTTTTAAATCAAAACATTTAATGCAATTCACGTGACTATGGGGATCAACAGCCACAGCACCGGTATGTCTAGGCTACCGTAACCATCACTGTCAACCTATTAACTCATCAAAAGCACCAGTAGTTCATACACTATACCTGGTATTGTTCGGTGAGGCGTAGGCGTAGGCGCACTGGTAGTCGCGGGTTGATAGCCACTGGGGTCTGGTCTGGACGGTTGACCTCCCGGTGCCCTACGGTCGGGCTTATTGGCCAGCTTTGGACAGTTGGCTATTATATGACCGCTTTCTTTGCAGTAATTGCATGCCCTCTGATCCCCGCCACCACCTCCCGGGCCTCCCCGTCCACGGCCTCCACGTCCACCGCCCGGACCTCCTGTCATGGGATGAGAGCAATGGTTAATGAGTGGATTGTTTGCCGCCGGAAGTGGTCTTAAGTGGCAATCGATGGCCTAATTGTCACCTCTTTTTGACAACATTTTCGGTGTATTTGTTGTCGTTTTGAAAAACGTATCGCACGATTGCCTTCACATATACTATGATGTTGTTCAGTGGGTGGGGGTGTGAGGGGCGTAACCAGTGTTAGTGGTGTTGGTGTTATGAATGAAAAGTTTTAGGGGGCAGTTAGGGGGCAGTTAGGGGGCAGTTAGGGGGCGAGTGTAACACGTTTTGTGAATAGCATAGCAACAGGTGTTTGATGGGAAAACTGTTTATTATTAACAGTTTATTTACAAAACTTTTTTTTGCTCATTAAAAACACACCTGTTTTGTGCGATTACTACGAGCGCGTCATTTAAACTACAAAATGTTATGAAAGTTGCGCAAAAACTTTTTTTAAATTTTGTTTAATTAAGATTTTCACAATAGTAAACAATACAATACAGTAATGAGACATGATACATTCGTATAATGTACTTGGGTGAATAAATTAGTATACAGGCGGCACGTGTATATTAATTATCTCAACAAACTACTACATTAATGATTTCAAAATGCAATTAACACTCCATACAAATGAGACACCATTTGATTAAATTGAGAAAAATATTATTATTACAAAAAACAACTTATCTCAAAAAGTTTTCTCATTCTAGTAATCAGACTAAAATAAATTTATTACGCACACCATTTTCACCCTGTTCGTGACTATTGGTGCGACCATGGTGCTCGTAATAGACCTAAGTCTATATCCCGACCGTCA